CGGACAATCCAGTGCTGGTATAGCAGCTGAAGAGGAAATTCTGTGTCGCCCCACTGTCGCGCCTGAGGATGTCGCACCTGGATGAGTTGCTGTCTCAGCAGCGGGAGGCAGCTGCTGCTAGGGGTACTGCTTGGTTGCAGGGACAGATTTCCATGTTGCTGGGGGACAAGTGCTCGAGGCTGGTTCCAGGGGGGCAGCAGTTCCCACATGCTCGGAGCACTATAGCCCGGAACCTGCCCCTAGAGCTTTGCACCACATTGGGAGTCCCGTGGGGGACCCTCCGGGTCCGCCAGCAGGATGCTCTCCTGCCACTGCTGGCGTTGAGCCTGGGAGGAATCCCCAGCAATGGTGGGCCCGGAGGCTCCCTCACGGGACTCCCAATGTGGTGCAAAGCTCATTGCCCGCTCGTCGGACGGCTTGGGACCCTTTCGACTCCTCACCTGATGAGGTGTCTGTCAGGGAATGCCATCCAATGGTACAAGAAGAGTGCCACGGTGCACGAATATGCACATGCGCAGGATTCTGGCAAGACGAACAGATGTGTGGGCACCTGAGCAGAGGTGCGCGCGACTGTGCTCGCGCATGCGCACTCGCGCGCCTGTCACTAATGCTGGCGCCAAGGGACTATTTAAACTGGCCGCTGCGGTTATCTAGTTGCCATATGGTCTTTTCTCCTGCTTGTGCTTCCTGACCTCTTTGTTTATTCCCTGTTGCCGAATCCAGCATGCTCCTGACTACTGATTGATCATCTCCTGCCCTGACACCTGGCTTGTCTCTGGATTACTCTTTTGCCTGCTTCCGATCGATTGACCTCCTGCTGCTGAACCTGGCCTGTGACCCGACTACTCTCTTGCCTGCTGCTCTTGTCTGATCTGTCTCATGCAATACCGAACCCGGCTTGTCTGACTCTGCTGCTCGCTGCACCTGCACTCATCTATCCTGCACGGAACCATCCCCATCCTGCTCTGATCTGCTTATCCATCCGTCATGCACAGATCCATCCGCACCTTGCTTTGGTCTGCTTCTCACCAGTCCAACTGCTTTACCGGACAGATCCCAGGGCCCTCTTACCCCACCGAGCTCCTGCGACCGCTGTTCCACTATCAGCGGTTCCCGAGCTGGGGTTGTATGAGAGGTCTGCCTCTTCATGTCAGGCTCACTACTCAGGTACGTGACAGTACCATACGGCCATGTCTGAGCCTGCAAGAGGACCCTCTCCATCAGACGAGATATGTCATCGCCTTTCAGCACTCACCCAGGCTGTTAAGACTTTGCAGGATCGGTATGCACACTTGGAAGAACGCATACAAACCTTGGCCACACCTGCTTCTGTACCAACGGATCTGGCTACTTCTGCCACGGCCAGAGATACCACTGAATCCCGCACTAGTACAGTGGTTACTTTACCTTCCCCTGAACCCCGTGTGCCTACTCCAGAGCGGTTTAATGGGGACTGAAGCAAGTTCAGAGCATTTCGAAATGCATGTCAGCTGTATTTCGATCTACAGCCAAGAACTTTCTCCACAGAGACTGTGGAGATGTGGGGTTCATCATCTCCTTGCTGCAAGGAGAACAACAGGGTTGGGCCCATCGCCTACTTGAAAGTCACCATCCGCATCTAAATACAATTACAACGCTCTTTAACGCAATGGTCCAACTGTACAACGATCCACAGCAGACCACCACCACTGAAGCAGCATTATATGCGCTCCAACAGGGTCACCGAGCAGGAGAGGATTACTTCCCTGACTTTAGATGCTGGAGTGGAGATACAAACTGGAACGATGCAGCCCTACGTCACCAGTTCCACCTGGGGTTAGCTGTGCCCCTCAAGGACGAGCTAGCTCGGGTAGGCATATCTTGGAGCACCTGATCGCATTAGCCATCCAGATAGATCGTCAGCTGCGCGAACGCAGGTTAGAAAAATCCAACCAATCTCTGAGGCCTACATGGATGCTACCTAAGTTCCCAGTCCAGCCTAACCCTCCTGCTAGAAGTCTGAATTCTGAAACTACAGATACATTAGAACCCATGCAACTCGGACTAATACTCCCTTCACTTACTCCAGAGGAACGCCAAAGACGCTGAGCCAATAACCTCTGCTTTATACTGTGGAGAATCTGGTCATTATGTGCGTTCCTGTCCCGCTAAGCTACGTAAGTGCATCTCTGTCTCTTCTGCTGTTCCTCCATCATGTTCCACTAGCTCATCTCACCTGGATGTACCCATTTCCTTCCAGCTTCCCGGAAGAACCATGTCAGTGACCGCAATTATTTACTCAGGATCCTGCAGTTGCTTCATTGATCTAAACTTTGAAGCCGAAAAGCATATTCCATTACAGCTAAAGGAACACGGATTAAACATCTTCCTTGCTGACGGGTCTCGGATTAAATCCGGACTAGTAGACAAGGAGACCCCGCCAATCTGGACTACTGTAACTGACCATCATCAAGAATTCTTATGTCTAGAAGCTATCCCCTCTCCTCTATTTTCTGTCATTCTGGGCCTACCCTGGCTACGGGTGCATGACCCTCAAATCAACTGGAAGTCTAGGTCGATCCAGTTCCCCTCTTCTTACTGCCAGAGACACTGCTTATCCATGATGTCCTCAGCCACGCCTACCCTACTGTGCATGGATTCTGATGCGGAACTCTCTCAAATAATTCCTCCAGTCTACCATGGCTACCTTGATGTGTTTAGTAAGCGGGGAGCAGATACTCTTCCCCCTCATCGATCTTATGACTGTCCGATCGATCTACTCCCCGGATCTGAAATTTCCTTCGGGCGAATTTTCCCTTTATCCGAACAGGAACTAGGAGTTCTGAAGGATTATATCGATGAGAACCTCCAAAAAGGATTCATCCGTCTTCCAAATCACCAGCAGGAGCTGGAATATTTTTTGTAGAAAAAAAGGACAAATCCTTGCGGCCCTGGTGGATTACCGTGAATTAAATAAGATTACAGTAAGAACCGTTATCCCCTTCCCCTGGTTCCTGAACTTTTCCAGAGACTCGATGTTAGGAATGGACTGGCCAGCAATGGTGGGACTCACCTGCCTTTTGATCTGCAGTACCAGGGCTGGCCAGCGGGTGCTCCCAGCAATCAGAGACTCAACCTTTCAGCCAGCTAACACCTGGAACTGATGATGCTGGGGTATTTAAGGGATGGCCAGACCCACAGACTCTGCCTTGGTGTTGTGTTTGTCCTGGGCCCTGTATCTGTCCTGCATCCTGTTTCTGTCCCTCTGCCTGACCCTCTGTACTACGCTGCTTGTTACCTGTTTTGATCTCTGGCTTGTGACCCTGACCATCCCTCTGCCTGACCCTCTGTACTACGCTGCTTGCTACCTGCTGAACCTGGCCTGTGACCCCGACCATTCTCTGCTTGCTCCCCCTGTACCTACCTGCCCAATTGATATTGACCCGGCCTGCCTGACGACGCTTGCTTGTATGTACTGTTATCTGTGGGTGGTTTGGTTTGGTTTGTTTGCACTGTATTATGTTTAGTATTGCACTGCGTTTATGTTTGTATGGTTAGTGTTTAATAAATTGTATTGTTTATCACATATCTGAAGTCTGCGTTTCCCTGCATCAGTCTCACACCTCTGGTCATACCCGGGAGCCCTGACATTACACCAAGGCCAATCCTGACCAGAAGTGGCTGCACAGGGAAGCCATCTTGGCTTGTTGATGGGAAGGATGGATCTTGATGAGGTTGAATATTTATATCTGCTAGTGTTTGATGACAGGGAGTATGCTTATCAAACTCTGAAGGAGTATACCCGGGATGAACTGCTAGAATGTATACGGCTCGCTCATGTTCTAGTAGATCAGGGCACAGAGTTCTCTGAGGTGCAGCCTTTGATTGAGGTTTGTGCTGAGTTGGTTTCATCTGGTTCCCCCGAATGCAGGGATGAATTTTTGCCACCATTTAGTGCAGACCAGGTAGAGTCCCTGGTGTGGTTATTAGAGGATGATGTGGGTTACTTTCTGGAGCGTTATTCCACATGTTCACCACAGACACTAAGAGATTGTATAAACGCAGTACAGTCATTGACCAGACAGGCTTTGTGTAAGCTCAGCTTTGTTCAACCCATACTGCAGACATGGACAGATTTGTTGCACCCAGCCTCAGTCAGCTTACAAAGACCCAGTCCTGCTTCTAATCTATTTCCTCAAAACTCTATTCCTGCATTCCCAACAGCTCCTCCTGCCCTGCTATCTACCGCATGTCAGTACCCTGTTCCCACTCGCTGCACCTATCCTGCCTTTAACCCTGTAAAAGAGCCCTCTGTAGCAACCGCTCCCTCTCCTGTTCCATCCTCCTGTTCTTCTCTGTCTCCAGCTGCTCCATTCGTTTGCAGACCTGCGTTTACTTGCAGTGCTCCAGTAGTTAAAACCAGAAAAAAGCGAAAATTCTTTCCAACCAATACCATCCTGCCAGTATCCAAACCGGTGAGCCTGCCTTCCGTGGTTCAGCCTGAAGCCTCTACTCGGCTTGAAGCCTCTACTCGGCTTGAAGCCTCTACTCGGCCTGATGCCTCTACTCGGCCTGATGCCTCTACTCGGCCTGAAGCCTCTACTCGGCCTGAAGCCTCTACTCGGCCTGATGCCTCTACTCGGCCTGAAGCCTCTACTCGGCCTGATGCCTCTACTCGGCCTGAAGCCTCTACTCGGCCTGATGCCTCTACTCGGCCTGATGCCTCTACTCGGTCTGAAGCCTCTACTCGGCCTGAAGCCTCTACTCGGCCTGAAGCCTCTACTCAGCCGGACGCCGGCATTCAGCCTGATGCCTCTACCCAGCATGATGAACTGATCCAGCCTGACGATCCTATTAGGCCAGTTGACTCGATGCCCGCTGTTGATCCAGATGATCCGGTGCCTGATCCGGTGCCCGCTGTCGAGCCAAATGACCTGATGCCTGGTGACCCAGTGCCCGCTGTCATACCTGGTGACCCGATGCCCGCTGTCGAGCCAGACAATCCGGTACCTGATGACCCGGTGCTCACTGTCGTGCCTGTTGACTCGGAGCCCATTGCCTTGCCAGATGACGCGGTGCCCGCTGTCGAGCCAAATGACCTGATGCCTGGTGACCCAGTGCCCGCTGTCCAGCCAGACGATCCAATGTCTGACCCAGTGCCCGCGGTCATACCAGTTGACTCGGAGCCCACGGTTGTGCCTGGTGACTCGATGCCCGCCTCCCCGCCTGGGGGCCTGAGACCTGTCGTTCCGGCTGGGGGTCCGGCGCCCGCCACTCCGCCTGAGGGTCCGAGACCTGTCGCTCCGCCTGGGGGTCCGGCGCCCGCCGCTCCGCTTGAGGGCCCGAGACCTGTCGCTCCGCCTGGGGGTCCGGCGCCCGCCGCTCCGCTTGAGGGCCCGAGACCTGTCGCTCCTCCTGGGGGTCCGGCGCCCGCCGCTCCGCCTGAGGGCCCGAGACCTGTCGCTCCGCCTGGGGGTCCGGCGCCCGCCGCTCCGCCTGAGGGCCCGAGACCTGTCGCTCCGCCTGGGGGTCCGGCGCCCGCCGCTCCGCCTGAGGGCCCGAGACCTGTCGCTCCATCTGGGGGTCCGGCGCCCGCCGCTCCGCCTGAGGGCCCGAGACTGTCGCTCCGCCTGGGGGTCCGGCGCCCACCCGCTCCGCCTGGGGGCACGATGCCTGTCGCCCCGCCTGGGGGCACGATGCCTGTCGCCCCGCCTGGGGGCGCGATGCCTGTCGCCCCGCCTGGGGGCGCGCGATGCCTGTCGCCCCGCCTGGGGGCGCGGTGCCTGCTGCTCCGCCCGGGGGCCCGATGCATGCTGCCCCCCCCGGGGGCCCGATGCATGCTGCCCCGCCCGGGGGCCCGGTGCCTGCTGCCCCGCCCGGGGGCCCGGTGCCTGCTGCCCCGCCCGGGGGCCCGGTGCCTGCTGCCCCGCCCGGGGGCCCGGTGCCTGCCGCCCTGCCCGGGGGCCCACGGTTGTGCCTGGTGACTCGATGCCCGCCTCCCCGCCTGGGGGCCTGAGACCTGTCGTTCCGGCTGGGGGTCCGGCGCCCGCCACTCCGCCTGAGGGTCCGAGACCTGTCGCTCCGCCTGGGGGTCCGGCGCCCGCCGCTCCGCTTGAGGGCCCGAGACCTGTCGCTCCACCTGGGGGTCCGGCGCCCGCCGCTCCGCTTGAGGGCCCGAGACCTGTCGCTCCTCCTGGGGGTCCGGCGCCCGCCGCTCCGCCTGAGGGCCCGAGACCTGTCGCTCCGCCTGGGGGTCCGGCGCCCGCCGCTCCGCCTGAGGGCCCGAGACCTGTCGCTCCGCCTGGGGGTCCGGCGCCCGCCGCTCCGCCTGAGGGCCCGAGACCTGTCGCTCCGCCTGGGGGTCCGGCACCCGCCCGCTCCGCCTGAGGGCCCGAGACCTGTCGCTCCATCTGGGGGTCTGGCGCCCGCCGCTCCGCCTGAGGGCCCGAGACCTGTCGCTCCTCCTGGGGGTCCGGCGCCCGCCGCTCCGCCCTGAGGGCCCGAGACCTGTCGCTCCATCTGGGGGTCCGGCGCCCGCCGCTCCGCCTGAGGGCCCGAGACCTGTCGCTCCGCCTGGGGGTCCGGCGCCCCCGCCGCTCCGCCTGGGGGTCCGGCGCCCCGCCGCTCCGCCTGGGGGCACGATGCCTGTCGCCCCGCCTGGGGGCGATGCCTGTCGCCCCGCCTGGGGGCGCGACGCCCCCGTCGCCCCGCCTGGGGGCGCGACGCCCGTCGCCCCCGCCTGGGGGCCCGACGCCCGTCGCCCCGCCTGGGGGCCCGGCGCCCGCCGCCCCGCCCCGCCCGGGGGCCCGCCGCCCGCCGCCCCGCCCGGGGGCCCGGCGCCCGCCGCCCCGCCCGGGGCCCGGCGCCTGTCGCCCCTCCTGGGGGCCCGGTGCCCTGCTGCTCCGCCCGGGGGCCCGATGCATGTCGCCCCGCCCGGGGGCCCGATGCATGTCGCCCCGCCCGGGGGCCCGGTGCCTGCCGCCCCGCCCGGGGGCCCGATGCCTGTCGCCCCGCCCCGGGGGCCCGATGCCTGTCGCCCCGCCCGGGGGCCCGGTGCCTGTCGCTCCGCCCGGGGGCCCGGTGCCTGCTGCTGCTCCGCCCGGGGGCCCGGTGCCTGCTGCCCCGCCCGGGGGCCCGGTCGCCCCCCCCGCCCGGGGGCCCGGTGCTGCTGCTCCGCCTGGTGGCCCGCTGCCTGCTGCTTCGCCTGGTAATCCGATGTGCCTCTGCCCGGAGTCCTGCCCGATGTGCCTCTGCCCGGAGTCCTGCCCGATGTGCCTCTGCCCGGAGTCCTGCCCGATGTGCCTCTGCCCGGAGTCCTGCCCGAGGTGCCTCTGCCCGGAGTCCTGCCCGAGGTGCCTCTGCCCGGAGTCCTGCCCGATGTGCCTCTGCCCGGAGTCCTGCCCGATGTGCCTCTGCCCGATGTGCCTCTGCCCGGTGTGCCTCTGCTCGATGTGCCTCTCTCCGGAGTCCAGCCCGGTGTGCCGCTGCCCGGAGTCCAGCCCGGTGTGCCGCTGCCCGGAGTCCTGCCCGGTGTGCCAGTCTTTGATATCCCGCCAGTTACCAGACCCGGGCGGTGGAACATTTTGCCCAGCTAGGACTGTTTGGAGCGTCCTGAGGCCTGGGGGTCCGGCACCGCCGCTCCGCCTGAGGGCCCGAGACCTGTCGCTCCATCTGGGGGTCTGGCGCCCGCCGCTCCGCCTGAGGGCCCGAGACCTGTCGCTCCTCCTGGGGGTCCGGCGCCCCGCCGCTCCGCCTGAGGGCCCGAGACCTGTCGCTCCATCTGGGGGTCCGGCGCCCGCCGCTCCGCCTGAGGGCCCGAGACCTGTCGCTCCGCCTGGGGGTCCGGCGCCCGCCGCTCCGCCTGGGGGTCCGGCGCCCGCCGCTCCGCCTGGGGGCACGATGCCTGTCGCCCCGCCTGGGGGCGCGATGCCTGTCGCCCCGCCTGGGGGCGCGACGCCCGTCGCCCCGCCTGGGGGGCGCGACGCCCCGCCTGGGGGCCCGACGCCCCCGTCGCCCCGCCTGGGGGCCCGCCGCCCCGCCCGCCCGGGGGCCCGCCGCCCGCCGCCCCGCCCGGGGGCCCGGCGCCCGCCGCCCCGCCCGGGGGCCCGGCGCCCGTCGCCCCTCCTGGGGGCCCGGTGCCTGCTGCTCCGCCCGGGGGCCCGATGCATGTCGCCCCCGCCCGGGGGCCCGATGCATGTCGCCCCGCCCGGGGGCCCGGTGCCTGCCGCCGCCCCGCCCGGGGGCCCGATGCCTGTCGCCCCGCCCGGGGGGCCCGATGCCTGTCGCCCCGCCCGGGGGCCCGGTGCCTGCTGTCGCTCCGCCCGGGGCCCGGTGCCTGCTGCTCCGCCCGGGGGCCCGGTGCCTGCTGCCCCGCCCGGGGGCCCGGTCGCCCCGCCCGGGGGCCCGGTGCCCTGCTGCTCCGCCTGGTGGCCCGCTGCCTGCTGCTTCGCCTGGTAATCCGATGTGCCCTCTGCCCGGAGTCCTGCCCGATGTGCCTCTGCCCGGAGTCCTGCCCGATGTGCCTCTGCCCGGAGTCCTGCCCGATGTGCCTCTGCCCGGAGTCCTGCCCGAGGTGCCTCTGCCCGGAGTCCTGCCCTGCCCGAGGTGCCTCTGCCCGGAGTCCTGCCCGAGGTGCCTCTGCCCGGAGTCCTGCCCGATGTGCCTCTGCCCGATGTGCCTCTGCCCGGTGTGCCTCTGCCCGGTGTGCCTCTGCTCGATGTGCCTCTCCCGGAGTCCAGCCCGGTGTGCCGCTGCCCGGAGTCCAGCCCGGTGTGCCGCTGCCCGGAGTCCTGCCCGGTGTGCCAGTCTTTGATATCCCGCCAGTTACCAGACCCGGGCGGTGGAACATTTTGCCCAGCTAGGACTGTTTGGAGCGTCCTGAGGCCGCTCCTTGGGGGGGTGGGGTACTGTTAGGAATGGACTGGCCAGCAATGGTGGGACTCACCTGCCTTTTGATCTGCAGTACCAGGGCTGGCCAGTGGGTGCTCCCAGCAATCAGAGACTCAACCTTTCAGCCAGCTAACACCTGGAACTGATGATGCTGGGCTATTTAAGGGATGGCCAGACCCACAGACTCTGCCTTGGTGTTGTGTTTGTCCTGGGCCCTGTATCTGTCCTGCATCCTGTTTCTGTCCCCTCTGCCTGACCCTCTGTACTACGCTGCTTGTTACCTGTTTTGATCTCTGGCTTGTGACCCTGACCATCCCTCTGCCTGACCCTCTGTACTACGCTGCTTGCTACCTGCTGAACCTGGCCTGTGACCCCGACCATTCTCTGCTTGCTCCCCCTGTACCTACCTGCCCAATTGATATTGACCCGGCCTGCCTGACGACGCTTGCTTGTATGTACTGTTATCTGTGGGTGGTTTGGTTTGTTTGCACTGTATTATGTTTAGTATTGCACTGCGTTTATGTTTGTATGGTTAGTGTTAATAAATTGTATTGTTTATCACATATCTGAAGTCTGCGTTTCCCTGCATCAGTCTCACACCTCTGGTCATACCCGGGAGCCCTGACACTCGAGACTGCTACTATTTTCACCAAGTTAGATTTGAGAGGGGCATATAACCTGGTCCGCATCCGGGAAGGGGACGAATGGAACATGCCTTTCCGCACTCGTTTCCGTCACTTTGAATACTTGGTCATGCCTTTTGGATTGTGCAACGCTCCCACTACTTTCCAACACTTTATCAATGATGTTTTTAGAGATTACCTGGATATTTTTGTTGTAATATAACTGGACAACGTTCTGATCTTCTCCACATCTCTGGAAGTACACCGAGATCATGTTAAAAATGTACTGGGACGACTTCGCCAGCATGGACTATACGCCAAAGCAGAGAAATGTAACTTTGAGCAGCAGAGCATTCCATTTCTGGGTCTGATCATCTCTACAGCAGTAATTGAGATGGATCCCCAAAAGATTACAGCAATTTTGGAATGGCTGGTACCTTCAGATAAGAAAGGAATTCAGCGATTCATCGGCTTTGCTAACTTTTACCGGAAATTCATTAAGAACTTTTCAGGCCTCATTTCACCCATTACTCAGCTCACCAAACTAGGGGTTCGCTTCTATTGGACCCCTGAGGCGCAGGCTGCCTTTGAGACTCTGAAGGAACTATTTACAGCAGCCCCTATCTTGAGCCATCCGGACTCCTCACTTCCATACATCTTGGAAGTGGATGCATCTGAAAACGCAGTAGGGGTAGCTCTTTCACAAAGGAAAGGCCTTAAGGAAGTAATGCATCCGGTAGCCTTCTTCTCTAGGAAACTTACTCCAGCTGAAAAGAACTATGACGTAGGGGACCGGGAACTTTTGGCAATAAAAGTAGCTCTGGAGGAATGGAGATACTTGCTGGAAGGAACTATACACCCAATTCTAATCTACACAGATCACAAAAATCTAGAATATTTAGGGACTGCTAAACGCCTTAAACCACGCCAGGCTAGATGGGCACTGTTGTTCTCCAGATTTGTCTTCCACATTATCTACAGACCGGGATCCAAAAACACCAAACCTAATGTGCTCATGTACGAGGATCCAAAGAAGACTCCAAAGCCGGACACCATTCTACCAGCAGGAATTTCTTGTTACTCCAGTCTGAACTCTTGTCTCAATTACAGCAGGCATCAGCAGGAGCATCCAGCCCACCCGGAATCACGGTACAGAGCAGGGAAGGGCTTTTATGGAAAGGGGAGCAAATTTTGGTACCCGAAGAGACACAAACTCTTGTCCTGGGTTACTGCCATGATCACCCGTTAGCAGGTCACTTCGGGGGTTTCCAAAACGTTGGAGCTGGCACAACGCACGTTCTGGTGGCCGAATATGGCTAAAGGATTGTAAGACATATGTAAGGTCTTGCACCATCTGTAATCGGAACAAGACCACCCGAAACAAAGTCTGGGGATTGCTTAAACCTCTACCAGTACCTGATAGGCCATGGAGGATGATAACAATGGACTTCATAGTGGAACGTCCGCCTTCCCAAGGACATACCGCTATCTTTGTGATAGTGGATCGTCTATCAAATATGGCCCATTTTCTGCCACTAAGGAATACACCCTCTGCTTCTGAGACTGCCCGGATCTTCATTAAAGAAATCATGAGACTCCATGGAGTTCCTATGAACCTTGCCTATGACCGGGGGGGGTACAATTTACATCAAGATTTTGGAGAGCACTATGCAAAACCCTGGAAATCAAGTTGTCCTTTTCCTCTGCATACCATCCACAAACAAATGGACAAACCGAACAGACCAACCAGACTCTAGAGAAATACATCCGATGTTACACGGGGGCCTGGGGGCACGATGCCTGTCGCCCCGCCTGGGGGCGCGATGCCTGTCG